GTGACACAGTCATGCGACACATTCTTTTGCGACAACAATTTTCTCACAGAAGCTGCAACACAATATTTTTTACTGTGCAAAATGAGTATGCGGTTCTGAGTGGGTAGAAACCGAAGAAACAACAAACCTCATTAAAACATTTTCTGGTTGTGTGGTATAAAAATGTGCACAGAAATAAGAAGAAAATTTTTCTGCTTCATTCTGTTCCTCGCAAATGTGTGAAGCCTGATCGAGTCCAGTGAATTTTGTTTTATTTTTTGTTAGCTTCTGTTATGTTTTTGTTATTTCATAATGACGAATATGATAGGCTTTTCTTATGTTTCTAAAATATTGAGGTTAAAGACTCATAACTTATGATAGACGTAATTCTATTCAGAAGTGTTGCTACTATACTACTCCCTTGGAGCAATATTTTGATTTCAAAAGTCATATGAAACTTCATGAGTACGCCAATGAACCGTTTTGTACATCATGAAACTCTGTCATTTGTCATTATAACAGATAAGTCGTTCTACAGATTTTGCGTTAATAATGGTAATTAAAATCCGATAAGAAGCTGATTTATTTCTTCTGAAGTACGCGTTATATGCTGTGAGACCGATATGAAGGAAAAAGAACGAAGAAAGCGTGACATCACAGACAACAGTCTTAATATATATGTTGTATATAACGCACATTGTAATGTGAGCAAACACTATATAACGTGAATAGAGAACTAGCAAATAATGGGATATCTCTTTTCGCACATTCATGTCTTTCTTTTCTATCGACTCGATGAAGCCGAAAAAATGTCCGCACGTGGGATATCTTATGTGAAAAAAGATATCTGCTTATTACTAGTTATCTAATAAGAAAAGAAAAGAAAATCGCTATTTGTCGCAGCTCGAATCATTAATCTGTCGTGCAACCAAGCGTGATAATTTTCGTTTCCATTGTTATTTGTTGACCAGCGGATTAATAGAAACCATGTTTGATTGACATATATTCCATTTGATTCTACTTTACGTATTTATATAGTTATTAATTCAAACAGAGATTTGTTGAGATACTGATGAAATATATACGGTCGTTTTTTCATCAAGCTTTGTGTTAGATATAACAATAATTATTCCATTTAAGATCATTAATTGATGTTTATGTTAGAGTGATGTTTATCTATTAGACTAACTCTTAGTATGTTTCAATCAAAAAGTAATATATTACCGAAGTATCTAAATAATTGTTCACGAGCAGTATAATCAATATATAGTTTTCGAGATTTAACAAGCTGATAAATTGAATAAATAATAATATACAAAGATGTCCGAAATAAATAAATAAATAATATGAACCGCCAATAGAAATAAAAATTTGTTAGTAGACTTCATATACCTTGAATGTGCAGAAAAAACAAGTCTCTTTTGATTCGTTCGCCGCGCAACTTTCTCCGTTTCCGTTTGCTCCGACTGCCGCAAATTCAATCACATCGATTACAATGCCTGGTAGTAGCATCTACGAACGGCTCTAAATCAAAATTAGATCTGTCGGCATCAAAAGAACGTGTTTTATATACAAAACTTACTGCAGCAGCATGAGCTCGTACATTAAAATCCCGTTAATTTTTCCGAAGCATTTCACTTTCTAGCTTGTTCCTGGGAGAATGACTCTACGGTAAGGCCAAAGAATATTCCTTGGTATAAATATGATCCGAAAGAGTCGGACATATCTATACCGCAAGAGAAATATAAAGAAAAAGACGAATCTGGAAATGTTAAACCAATTGTAAGAAAAAATGAACAAAAACAATTATGTTTAGATGATTGGCTAAAAGATAAATATATTTTTTCATTTTATGTAGAATAAAAATAATGAGGAAATGTATTTCTGCTTTGTACCATCATGATTTAATGCTATAAAATGTATTTTTTATAAATCTGATATGAGTTATACTCATAAGTTATTATAAACTTAATTTAATAGAAGAAATGTTGAAAAAATAAGTACAATTATGATTAGAAGGAGGCGAACCCATTACATCTTAACATAAATTGACTGACAGCACAAGAATACATATATAGAAACGATACACGACGACAACATAAATAAGAGAAAGACAGCAATAAGAAGAAAAACAAAAGAGACTAACTGATGAATCAAGAGTAGAAAAGGATATCATGAGATTAGAACCTTTGTGTGTCGCAAATAAATGTAATTACGACATTATATAATTCATTCATTTCTGTTACGTGTAAAGATGTTACAGGTTTTAGAAAGGAAATGTTTAAGAGTAAGGATATTGCTTACTAGAGCAATCAAGTCATTTTCAAAGATAGTTCGTATTTGCTGGTAATACTGACACTCCAAGAAGAAATGCTATACCGTTTCAGCCTTCCAGCCCACTGAGAGCTACTAACTAAATTCTTTTTATATAGATAATCATCCAAGCGAGAAAAATTTATGTGCATTTGAGTAAGAATCACGTCATATTTTCTTTCAATGTTTTTGAATCTCGGCCATTTAAAGCAAGAAAAAAAATAATCGTTTATTGCAGAAAATCGTTTTCTTAAAGCTTAAATTGTAGTAACAGCGGTAAGTAAGGCATTCCATTGCTTAATTGTCCATGGAAGACATGTAGTTTCGAGCTTAACTTTATGGGTGCGGTATGTGTTCAAGCGTTTGTTAGAAGCAGATCGCAAGGACGTAGTTGTTATTGCTACTGATCTTAGTATTCTATCAGCTAGAAAAAGTGGAGGGAGATCTCTAAATATTTTGAATAATAATAAAATTTTGTGCGTCGTAAATAGATGTTCAAGTGATAGCCATCCTAGTATGCTGAAGACTTTATCTCACGAAATGAGACGCAAAGCACCACTAACAGTTAGTGCGGCATCGTACAGTAATTTTGCAATTGGTTTTAAATAAGCTAATACATTGGGCAAAAGGGTATTTGCAGTCTGAACCTCTTTCGCACAAGCATAGATTACCTCTGCATAACTTAACACTAGCAAAATATGCGATTGTAGATCTGGTCGAGTGTAGTCGTACTTAGAGTATTTTTGAAATAGCTTATTAGATACACTGTATATTTACATTTTTTTTGTAACCTTGTATACATGCAAAGACCAGTCTAGCCTTGGTGTGAGGTGCAAGCCCAAATGTTTATGCCGATCGACATAGTGGATAACATTTCCATTCAGTAACAGCTGAGGAGGTGCAGAAACTTTGGCGAAAAACATAGCGACACACTTTTTTAAACTCAAGGATAACTGCCAAAATTCAGTCCACTCTAAAACGTCTTTCAAGTCTCGATTTAACATATATTTTCATTTATAAAAATATTGTCCGAAGTATGATATATCGATGTATCGTCGTTGTGTTTATGATCACAATATCGTCGAATATTAAAAACAAAAGTGGTCCTAAAATCGAACCTTGAGGGACACCACGGTTTAGAACAAAAGTTGGAGAAGGTTTTTTTAGGGACGCTATAGAAGACCCTTCTAGAATTTGTGAGCCTTAGGATGCAATATAAGACTCGGGCCCTCTATTCTGTCCACTCCTTTACACAATAATAGGTTAAACTGTACTACAAGAGTTTGATTTTAAAAGATAAGACGAAACTGACTTCTGTGGCTCCTACTTTACTTCGTTTCGCATGGATCCCCGATCCACCTTTTCCTCTTGTAAGTATATCACTGCAGATAAAAATGCTGATTGTCAACCAATTTCATTATTTCGAGTATTCATAAACTCCTATTTTGACCAAGTAGAGCTTGTCTTTTCATTGTTTACGATCCAAAAAACAGCGATAAAACGAAGTGAAAGCGATGATCTTTTCCAGTTTTATTTCCCGTAAACGTACTTCTTAGCAAATCTATCTAGGAATAAATGAAGAATTTACTGCGATTACTTCTGTCTTATTCTGAATTTGTTTTCAGCCTGAGTTTCTAAAATAGAAAGGATATAGCCGAGCCTTGCACAGTCAGTGTTCGCCAGAATATTACTGTATTTCTGTAATTTGATACAAGTGATGGTTTGTGTTCAAGCCGAACAAGTCTCCAACTCCGGTACAATGTCGGTGCATTGTATTTTGAAACAGATAGTGAGGCTTTAATTGAATATTAATGGAGATATTTATCGTTGTTTTCATAATTTGATTCCATTCTATGCTATTAAAAAATATTAGTGTCTTAGTGTCAAGCGATGCAGTTTTTACAGGCTGAAAGTCCAAACTCTGTATGCTATAAACATTAGCTCAGAATTTCGAAATATCTGAATTATATAAACGGAAACTATGTGTCAGTGTATTTATTTCATCATAAAGTATGAGTCGATTCATTCATTATCTAGTTTTCATGTACTAATTTGAAGAAACAACTCAAGCCTAACATACATGACACTTACACAAATTGTAGCGCACTAATGGTACATTTGCACATAGATAATATGATTTTTATAAACCGTATGATGAGAAGGTAATAATAGTTAAACATACTCTTTTTTATGTAGTGTATTAACAATAGTATTAATAGCAGTTTATTTTTTCTTCTTCATATTTACTTTATTATAATATCACACAGGTATATTTTTACTTTACAAAATCCCCTAAGTAATGTTTGCTACTTAGATAATAGACAAACAAATGTAAGTATATCCTCATGTTTTACATAAGAGGCAATTGAACAAGTCCCAAGTTTTCGTTCAAAGCCATATTATGTACATAACTCCATTAGGTTTCCTATGAAATCAGTTTATCCTGTATTTGGGCAATAACTCACATTAGACGTTGACAATGTAAACCGACTTCGCTGAAGTGTACTATTAAGAAGTAACAAGATACAATAACTCCATATGTCATTATCACCACTAACCATCTCTTTACACGAACCCGATGTACATTATATAAGCATGAGACATTCCCCACAAAGTTATTCCACTCTAGTGAACTGAATTTAGTTCTTACCTAAATTTGGCGAGAAAGTCAAAGAAAGACCTCGGCCAAACAATTTCAGTTCTTGCACATGAGGTTAGTAAGATTCGATAGAGCACGTGTCTGTACTGTTCATTGAATGAAGTGCCACTTCACCACAGTTGATATTCAAATAAAATAGTGTAATGTATATTTTCTACCATTTTTTCGCGCCGAGTCCACTTGACATAACCCTCACCGCGGTTTCACAAACTACCAATTATTATGCTCTATATTCTCAGCACCCATTATGAATAATTCATAGGTTTTTTACATAACTGATATTATCAGTTATGTGAAAAACCTCAGTTATGTAAAATCTTATTTGATTATCAGACTGATAATCAAATAAGAGAAATATTATTCACATACAAGAAATATAAATATTAGTCAATGAGTCTACCAAAAGTTATATAATCCCAATCATTCTGATCTAATTTTGATTAAAGGGTTCACATAGTAGGAGGCCCCCATCGATCCCATGATGTAAAAGTAAAAATGGAAGACTTCTCCTTTTTTTAGATTTGTTTTTTAAAAAAAGGACGGGTATATTGTTGACAAAACAATATTTCGGTTAAAACCGTGATATATACAGAGAAATGCCTCACTATACTCCCAGCTCGTGCCAAACGAGAGTTTTCTCCCAAAAATTCAAAGTTCCGGCACAACATGAGTTTTCCTGGGACATAATACAAGACCCTTCCTAAAATTTTTAAAACTAAGGGCAAATTACAAGGTCCGAGCCTTTATTATGTAACATCTTTTAATTTCTTTGCGTGCCATGATATTTTAGTAGCTTTTACGGACATTTGATGAAAAAAGTGATTTGAGTATATTTGCGTTCGCTAATTTATTTTAGGTTTTCATTGATTCAGATTATACGAAATGCCATTTTTGTTAGACAAAGTGCAGTGGTTTCGGGCTCAAAAACAAGCTCGACGAGAGAAGAAAAAGAAAAGTAGAAAACCAAAATGTAGGAATACTTTTTGCTTTTTAATTTCTAATTACATAAAAAGAACTTTGTCTTTTTGGTATAGTTGTACCGTTAGCAAGCAGTTTACGTTGTTACCCAGTTCGTTTCGGACCCGATACAGAAGTGATTGAATTTATCCATGATATGATGGATGATGCTAATTTGAAGTCAGTGTCCATAATCATGTGTCTGGGCAGTATCAAGGCGTGTGTATTAAGGATACCAAACACAATGGAATATAGACAATTAAATTCTACCTGTGAAATTGTTTCAATAACCGGTACATTCGATTGTGAGAATGGTCATCATGTTCGTGGAATTTTTAACGATGACAAAGGCACTATTATTAGCGGAGACATTGAATCCTTAACTGTTTATAAAACTGTTGAAATTGTATTAGCTGAATGTCAAGATGTCATATTCTCAAGAGAACATGACTCACGCACCGGTTCCGATGAACTTGTGATTAAACGGAAACTGTTTAAAGAAATGGATTAAGTGAAGGAGATGTTTTAGTTTTGTATATATTAAACATAGTAGACATTTGATAAGATTAGTTTCTTTTATTCTATTTATGAATAGCAAAAGTGACTAGAACAGATAGTTAATTCGATTATGTGACGATTTATTGTGCCCGTTTTAAAACGTCTGACGGGTTTAGTATACCAATGGTGATAAGCTCATTGTATACGAAATGTGATTATAAAATAGTGAAATGCATGATCTTCTAGAAAGTCTACCTTAAAAGAGAGTTTAGAACATAGTCTTCACAAAAAGATGTATCACGGTCTGGGCTATTCAGTAGAGAAAACCACAGCTCCCTATGTTTTCATGTTTTATACAGTTACGGTAAAGTATAGAATGAAACACTTTAGAATGTTATCGAATAATCATTAATTATTGCATAAAAAGAAAACAAGGAATGTTGCTATTTGTAGGAGAAAAGAAAACACCTCACTGTCGGTAATTAAACGCATCATAAAAAATGAAATTGTGTAGTTGTTAAGGTCTTGCCCTGATTTAAATATCTTAAACTGTTTGTTAATGTGCCAAAACAGAGTTTTTTGCAAACATTCCACATGTCGTGCGCACTATTCGTTACTAAAATTAACATAAAAGTTTAGTTCAAAGTTCCTGTTCTTATAGTCTTCGAAGACTTAGAGAACCGAAATTTGCAGAGGCTATAGACCATGGGTCTGGTGAATCATTAGTCTCACTAGAATCTTAATGAGTTACCAGTGTCACTAGAATCTTAGTGATCATCAACTAGGGAAATCATAAAGCAACAAATTGATTACTTCTCATGAGAAAAACGTAATGTAAGCGAATGCCTTCGAAAGTTTTAATGAATGAAAAACAGTTAAAAAATTTATTGCCTTCACACGTGTTGGACATGGTAAAAGGCATGCAAAGCTATTCGCCATTATATTGTATCCCTTTACATTTACTAAATAATGCAATGCATGTGTTAGAGTTGGAACCGGTTGAGTTTTTTCCAATCGGACCGGCGGGTTGAATGCGTAGCTCAACCGGTAAGAAACCGGCCGATTCTGTAACAGATATAAAGTTCTGATTTTGTAAAAAATCGATTTCTTTTTAAAAAGCTATGTTTGTTTATCTTCAGAACCTATCAGATTTAGATATTTTGTCGCTCATCTATGTAAACATTGATATTTTTCATGAGGACTGTATCGAAATGGGGAAGCAGCATCATGAGAGTGAGTTCAGCTGCAACATTCTTTTGCCGTCCGAATGAGTTTTCGATTGTTTAACTTTGGAATAAAAATAACAGATTCATATTATCTAATTTCAAACAATTCAGTTTGATTTTGAGCGGCTTTTGCTCGCCTACAGCTGAAAACAAACATTCCCATGAGTATACAATGGTCAATAATCTGTGTTTATCTTCATGATCCTCAAAACATGAAAAGATCCAATCTTAGAGCTTTTAGTTGAAAATTAAGCCGACTTCAAATAATGGCAGGTAGAGGACTGGCACTTCACGGAATGTGCATACTCTCTACCATCTTTTGCTTTTCTCCATACAGTTACTCACACAATCTATTATCAACTGAGATGTGTCTCTGTTGCTAGTCCGACAGTTTAACATGAGAAGTTCGACGGTTCAGTTAGTAGAATCTAGACGTTCAAAAAACCCCTTTCTAATTACATCATACGATTTGCAGTGAAGGTGAGAATGCTGTATTGTCTACTCGCTACCATCCCCGAGAGCACACGGGCGAATTAACGCAACCGCATTCATATAAGTAGAAATTTAGCCGCGGAAAATTACATCACAAACGCATGAACGTAATTTCAGGCTTTCTGTTTGTAAAAAACAAGTTCCTCTCTCTCAGCAATAAAATAAAACAACTTCTTTTCAAAACTCAGACATAAAAGGATTGCATTGCAAAAACTGATCAAACTTTTAATTTTAGCAGATGCTACTTTGTGAAAAATTGTGTTTTTTCCGAAATCCTTTTTAGGTAAACTCTAATAATTCTCTAAATAATTTCCGACCGTTATGCCGTGTATCCTATTTCCCTTAGCTCCGCAGCCTCGCTCTTCTACGTACGCTTGAATTGTGAGTGCTCGTTTATTGTGTAGAGGATTGTCTGTTCTACAATCTTATGCTGTAAAAACGTTTTAGTAATGTACTACAAAAATTTACATAAGAAATACAGTCACTGAGTGGGATGCATGATGGCGTGGAAGGGGTCACACACTTTTCTGCTCTAGAAAAAAATATTTTCTGTCTGGCCGGGGGAACATTTTTTATTGCTTTCTGTAAGTTTATTCACAAGAGACCTTCCTTGCTTTTTGATTTTGCCAAGCCCGTGACTTACATGTGTCGGAAAATACTAGATTTTCTTTTTTTACAACTTAGTTTTTAGGGCATAGCAAAAATTCGCTCATTCTGGAAAGACGAAAAGCGACAGAAAATTTTTGAACACAGTTCGGAAGCTCTTTGAATGTAGTTTCCTCGCTGAGATATCCTCAAAGTCCTTGGAGCATGTCTAAAACCTTAAAAATCTGCGTTTCCAAAAACGTGACCCTAGGTTTTTCGGATTTCGTTTTCCAGTTTTGAGGTTAAATTTTTTTTTTTTTATATAAACTTTATTAAAAATAATAATACAAGTAAGAACATAGCCGAGCTATTGCTCATTATAACATTCTTACTTGGCGACAAAATGTTGAATGATGAACTAAATTCTTCAAGAATGAAAACAGAAATAATCAACAAGAGAGTGAACAGACGTAAAAGAGACAACAAAAGAAATAGAGAAATAAAAAAAGAAATAGAGAAATAAGGTTAAATGTTTCAGATTCAAGCTGAAAACTGAATCTAGAAAAGTAACTTTCAGACTTCTGGGACCGAAAATATATTTTCTCGATATCTAAAACCGGTACGTGTTGAAAGCGTGCATCAAACTTTAATTCCCGCTTTCCCAAAGGAGCTAGTGCCAAAACTTTTACATGGTTGGATTCGCCAGAGGCCAGGATTCAGACTAATAAAGAGCTTTTTTCGAAATTCTTTTTCTTCACTGAGAAAATCGACTTTTACTGAGCATGTCTCCTTTTGCACTATTTTCGAGAGTTTTGCTTCAAAGTCACTTCTGATAATCGGCCTGGCCAGCTAACAGTCATCTCCTCGAGGGAAAGTTCGAAGTAAAAACTAAATGAAACTAGTCTGCCTATCGGAAAGAACGCATCCGGAAGTATATAAAACAGACGTTGCAAAATTCTTATAATAAGTATGGAGGCTAGAATTTGTCCATGTAAGTAATGTATGGTAACAGTACAAAGTTAACTACGATTCACGAGTAAGAAAAACAGAAAAAAGGAACGAAAGAAATTGTTTGTTTTCATTTCAGTTATACATATTTAGATAGCTGAGGAGCTGCTCTTTCTGAAAATATCGTTTTAAAAATATCGTTCAGGATCATGCCTTCTACAAAAAAATAAGGCTCGAAACTGTCCGCATTTTTCAAGTAATTCCGTGACGAAATTAGCTGATTTCTCCTTTGCCTGGTCTTAAATAGCAATATTCCGGAATGAAAGTTATATAGTTAGATAGATTTCGTCGAGTGCTATCTAATGGACGTTTCATTTTTGTTTTTTGAGCCGAAATAGGTGAAGTTATCTGGCAAAAACTGCGTCACGGAATTACTTATGAATATAAAACTTGAAATATTTGCTGGTTTCTTTCTCGCTTTCTTCTTTTTTCCTTTTAACCTCACCTCTGTTTGACCTTGTGTATTCGTTTTTAGTGCTATTTTTAAATCTGTCATCGGACAAGGCAATTTTTACGACAATAAACATAGTATTAGTTGCGCAATACGTTCTCTCTGCCATGCTTATCGAGTTTGCTTATTTCAGATAATAGAATGGTGCTCTCGGGAGCTGAGCGTATGAAGCGTTTACGAGAGAAACAAAAGACTACAGGTCAGCATGATTCAATTAAAGAGAAAGACCGTAAAAGAAAGCAAGTTTTTCGTTCGAAATTGACACCACAGGCTATGGCTTTATTTCGATTAAAACAAAATGCAAATGCTCAAAAATTTCGCGAGAAGAAAAAGAAAAAACGGACACTGAAACGACTTTCAACTACTTCTTTTGCTAACAAACAAGTAAAATCGAAAGCTCGCAAGAAATTAGAATCTTCTCTGCCTGCGGCCATTGACAAGCAAATTGAACTAGTAACTGATTTAGCTCGAAGTCTTGGTATTATTAAAAAAAAAGAAATGATTTCACGTCCTTCAAAAGCTTTGTCGTCACAGGTTACCGACCAAATTACCGAGTTTTTCTGTCGTGATGATGTCAGTTATCAAGCTCCTGGCAAAAGAGACACTGTATTAGTGAATATCGATGGAGTTAAACAAAAATTACAAAAACGTTATTTACCTTACACGCTGCGAGAAGCGCATCAATTATTTGTTGAAGAAAACCAGCAAGTTCAAATCAGTCGCTCCAAATTCAAAGATTTACGCCCTCAGAACGTTGTTTACAAATCCTCAACTCCACATCAAGTGTGTGTTTGTTTATATCATGAAAATGTAAATCTTTTGCTAGTAACCTTGACAGATCAAATTCATGGTCATGCTAAATTAGAACTGCGTTTGTTTGTTGATCTTATGGTTTGTGATCCAGAGAATGAAAATTGTGTGTTCAGAAATTGTGATGGGTGTAAATTGCAGTTTAAAAAAGAAATTACGCGAAACATTGTTGATAAAACACGTGTGATTGGTTGGACTCAATGGATAACGAATGATGACGGGCGTGCAGTCAAAATGGACTTTCGTGGTACCGTTCGTGAATGTGTTTTGGTTTTGAAAAATAAAGTTCAACATTTTCTGTTTCACGTTTTTGTAAAACGTCAACAAGCTACTTATTTTGAAAGTATTAAACGAAATGTGTCAGATAGCTATTGTCTACTTCAAGTCGATTATGCTGAAAACTTTTCAATGGTCGAGCAAAATGAAATTCAAAACGCTCACTGGTCAAAAAAACAACTATCGTTGTTTACAGCACACGTTTGGGCACAGTCTGGTAATCATTCTATGGTAGTTGTGTCCGACGACCCTTCGCACAATAAATTTACAGTTGCAAAGTGTCTCGAACATGTATTTACAATTTTACAAGATGTACTTCCAAATTTGCAAGAACTAGTTATCTTTAGTGACGGTAGTGCTGCGCAGTTTAAACAACGATATTTGTTTCGAAATCTATATACGATGGCCAGAAATTATAATATTTTGATATCCTGGCATTTCTTTGCTACTAGTCATGGGAAAGGCGTTGTGACGGCATTGGTGGAACAGTTAAACGTTTAGTTTATGAAGATGTCATGATAGGTAAAAGCTGTAAAAGTGCCGGAGACTTTATGCGTCTAATCGAAGCAAAAAATACGCCAGTTATTATTAGTGAGCTATTGCCAACTGAAATTGAAACAGTCGAAATTGAGTTGAAAGAACTTTTTCGAAAAGTTAAACCAGTGCGTCAAATTCAAAAAGTTCTCAGTATGACTGTTTATGATGTCGATAAAATTAAAGTTAAAGTCTATTCCGAAAGTGGCCAGTCCACCACAGTGTATTTTTGATCAGTTTATCTTTTTTTGTTGAGATTTTTTGTTTGAGATTTTTTACCCGGTGATTTACTATGTGATTCGCACGTATGATTTATCATAAAAATAATCAAGAGAATTAGTCAAAAAGAGCTCTTAGGACAGGCAAATAAGGCGAAGGATTGATTACTGTCGCAATAGAAGTAGTATACACTTGCGCGAGTTGCAATTAAAAGAAATGCAAAGAAATGAAAGTAAAAAAAGTAATTCCGTGACGCTGAGTAATTCGGTGACGAAGCCTTTTTTCCGAATTTTTCAGCAAAGATGTGTCTTTAAGAAAATGTAAAGTAGATATTCTGAAAGCTCGTTTCAAGCCCTACAACTTTTGCACACAAAATTTTCCTCTAGCTCTTTTACTTTCGTAAGAAAATATTGATTTTTCATTCAGAGTCAATGATGAGTGACGATATTTTTGCAATAACTCCGGCAGGGTTTATCCAAATCAATTGAAACTTTTACAAAACCTAAAACACGTAGTCCTACATACGCGGTAAAATTTTCAAAAGTCTGCGCCTCGTGCCAGCTGAGATCGAGGCTTAGGAAGTCAAAAAAAGTAATTCCGTGACATTTGCCAAGCCGTAATGTAGAATGGGTTAGAGGAGAATCTGCTGCTGAAGTTTAGAGGTCTTCACAGGGTTTCCAGAGGGTCTAAGGTGGTTTTGAGGGGTTTTCCCGATTCTAACTCCCTTCAAAAATCGATTTTCTCAGTGAAGCAAAAGAATTTCGAAAAAAGCTCTTTATTAGTTGAATCCTGGCCTCTGGTGAATCCAACCATGTAAAAGGTTTGGCACTAGCTCCTTTGGGAAAGTGTGAATTAGGGTCGCAAAGTTTGATGCACGCTTTCAACACGTATCGGTTTTAGACACCGGGAAAATACATTTTCAGTCCCAGAAGTCTGAAAGTTGCTTTTCTAGATTCAGTTTTCAGCGCTGAATCTGAAACATTTAACCTCGCTTTTAACCGGCTTTTTTCACCATTTAACCGGCTGTGAACATTGATCATGTTGTGATTGTTGTTGAATTGTCTTAATACCACCGAGGTGCTTCGACATCCAGTTTTGATGTTGCCATACAATATAACACATGCTCGTGTGCGTTGACTATGTTTGCAATGCGTTCAATATTACTGAGAAACTAATCGATTGTACGTGTTCCATGACCGCTGAGTTTTTCTATACTGATCAGGTTTTCTTTATAACAAGCTATTAGTGCTTGGTTCATCATTCTGAATGTTGTTTTGTCGGATAATGGAGCAGTGGAACTGAATGGATTCTTTGATTTTAAGGTAAAAAGAGCGGATCACACGGCGCCTACGTATAAGGAGTATCCCGAACCCGAATGTACTCGCCTATATATATATATATAAATATCAACTAGAAAATTTACCCGGTATTGCCCGGGTTAGTGATCCGGGTACTCCTTGGGTGAAGATTTTGGGATCGCACATAGCCTACGATCTTCCTCTTGATGAATGTGGATCCCGTGCAAAATTTGGTTGCTCTTGGATGACGCATGTGGATTTATATAGTTGAGCAAACACACAAACAAACACTTTAAATTATAGTATAGATGTGATTGTATTTCTCTTCGACTTTAATGTATAAACAAAAAGTGTACAGCAAAAAAACGTGTCAACTACAATGTGTGAAAAAAACGAATGTTCACTTTAATCTGGCGCACTGAATATACATGATGAAAAAGGAGAAGAAGGAAAATGAAAACAATCTGAAAGTTTCTTTATGTCCGGATGGATATGTAACTATATGTATGGTTCGCACCAATGAGAAAAAATAAAATTTAGGCAAAAATCACGTAGATTATGTCGACGCCAGGAGAGAAGTCAATATAGAATTAAAAGGAACTCACTTCACCGATTCATCGAAAAATTTTGCATCTAGCCCCAATTTTTATGTAATTTGGTGCAGCGCGGCAAAAGTGCCTAATTTTCTAATGATTCTATAAAATAAATTTCGTTAGAACTGCGACAAATAGCAATTTTCTTTTCTATTTTCTTGTCTTATTCACGTTGTATATGGGCCTTCACCAATATTGATATTTTATTGAAATATTGAAGCAGTAATATCGGACATCGAATCGAATCCTATACTATCGAAAATGTAGTGTGTTACAAAAATGAAAATATTCTCCTTAATTGATATGCAGTACTAGAGCTAGCCAGAATGTTGGCGCTAGCATACAGTCGGTATCTGCTAGCCGTCTTGCAACTGAATTTTATATCTGAGACGCATGTCACACAGAAATCCAGAAATCAAAATCTGTCACTTCACTTAAGAACTTACAGTTTGAAAGAGCTGTCTCTTTTTTGTACTTTCTCTCACAAATTTTTTCCCAGGGTGCTTCCACACAGGTTCGCCCACTTTATACAGAGCATCTTGTCGCGAAACTTTCACTTTGCCCATCGTGTAGAGCATCGAAAATAATCTAAAGGTCCCGTTTACGCTTTTTTGAAAAAACGTGTGGAAAGTGGTTTTTTAGACATCTTAAGTTTTTGATGGGAGTAAAACCGAAGTCGGTGAAAATTAACGAAACATTGCATAATTATACATCAAAATTAGCTCTTGACGAGTTGACTCGAATGATGTAGGAATTCGATCTCGATCTAACTTTACATTCGAGTGGTACTCAGTTAAACAAAAATATCGAGTTTTCGTAGTTTTCCCAGATTGGGTCCAAGCGGACTCCACGACACCGATCAAGTTCCAAAATCAGAACACAGACGAAGGGTCAATTGGGCAACAACACATTACGAAAGTACAAATTTTCCGAAAGGTGAGTAATGTTTTTTGACGGTTTCCATATGTAGTGTCATTGCACGCAAAAATTCGCTTACAAGCATAGTTCCAAAGCGAAGATCTCATCACAAAAAGCTATCTAGTTTTTTGTGTTAAAAAAGGAGATGCATACTTTTGTAGTACAATTCGAAATCGATTGAATGGTGCAACAATCAGAGCTCCACCTCTTTAAACTTGTTTTTGTTCCTGAGAAGGTCCATCTTTTGTGAGCAATGAAATCGGTATTCTGCTCCTCCTCTCTATTTTCTAATTTTGTAGTACAATTCGAGACCGATTGAATGGCGCAAGAATCAGAGCTCCATATCTTAACACAAAAAACTAGACAGCTTTTTGTGACGCTGCCTTCGCTTTCGAACTATGCTTGTAAGCGAATTTTTCATGCAATGACACTACACATGGAAACCGTCAAAAACACATTTCCTAATTCAGTTTCCAATGCTGAATCCGAAAAAGCCTTCTCAATTTTCTTCTTTGAAGGCTTCAAAATACAAAGGAGAAAAACTATTCAACTTTTCAAGAAGAAGAAAAACAATAACAAGGACTTTCTTTAAACTAAATCAATATTAAGCTCTCTTTTCCTACCACTCAACTATGTATCTACATATTGTTAGATTATTAATTTTCTTTTATTAAAAAAAAATATTTGACTGGCTGATGGAACAACGAAGATATGAAAAAGGATTAAAATGACCTATATTTGCAGTAATAGAAGAAATTAATGTATGCTTTCTCCTCCTCTCTGTATGTGAACTTCAAGTCATACGCTCACAAAATGCATAATACGATGTAGGTCATTACAACATGATGTCTAATTTGAATGGATGCTGGATTCAGAAGAAGCGATAAACTGTAAACCATAAGTGAATTAAAAATATTCTCTAAGTTTAGTTAGGAAGTCTAATTCGTAGAATGTCACAGACATTTCTCCCAATTGGAAGAAAATCATCTTACACTCTGCCACTTATAAAAACTTTTTGCTAACTGGCAGAGATGTCTGTCACACACTGCCAATTTTTGGAAATGGCAGAAAGTCAGTGGCAGAAAGGCTTAATACCACGAGAAGGCGGCAGTTGTCTGCAATTTTATCGAGCTCTCCAAATATCGGGAAACACTTGAGAAGAGCAAATGGGTGCATTTATACCGTATTTGCAATCAGCATCACAAACTGGATCGAACGACACAAATCTGGAAGCGTTTTGTCTTGGCAATTTTTCCACATGAAAATTCAGAAAAACTCACAGTAGTCGGATAGATTAAAACCGTAACACTAGATTCAGTTTATGATGCTGATTCCGACTATGGCATTCGTATTGCATAAAACTTGAGTTCTGATGAAGAATCAGAAGCACGGTCGGAATTCTGATTTTTGCCCTCCTGGCTTAGAAAATATAAATTTTCTTAGTGCATAAAGTAAAATGGGAAAAAACCAAGGGGGAAACTGCGGACTTTATAGACTTTAAAGTCCGCTCAGATCTTTTAAAGTCCACCAAGTCCGCTAAAGTCCACTCAAGTCCATTGGAGTCTGCTGAAGTCCCGTTAAGTTCTCTCAAGTCCGATCAAGTCCAGAAACATCCCATGTGATACAACGGCTTATTTCTTTGAGTATTATTGTTATTTATTTAAAAAAAGTCACTCCAGAAGCAAGA